GTCCACATACAAACAGACAGATAAATATATTAATAAGTAAATCATTGCAATAATTTACAAAATGATTCAGGGCTAGTGGCAACTCGCCTGTAATCACAACTCTTGAGAGAAGCAGATAAGAGATTTCCCATGGATTTGAAGGCATCCTGGACTACAGAGTGAGTGCTAGCTTAGCCTAGTCTACAGTGGGAGACCCTATAAAACCAAACAGACAATTACAACATACCAATAAAGCCATTTGTACTGTATTTTCTCATGCACATTTCATTGCTAGAAGTCTTTTGCCTAACAGGCAGGCTGGGGTGACACTTCTTAACATGGAAAACACAGCCAGTTCTTGGAGCAGTGGAGCAGGAAGTTTAAGTTGCTTCTAAATTTCTGTACCTTGGTGAAGAGTTTGTCCTTCTGCCAATGAAAGGGTGACGTACATGCGTGGCATCCCATTTGACTGGTGGACATAACCAGAGTCTCAAAAATGCCAGGGGAGCAAGCACTGTGTGGATATGAATGGTTTTATGTGTCACACACAGACTGCAAATCTCACAGGAAATGTTCTCACTCATCAGGTACTGGCATTAGTGATTGCATTTAGCTTTTAGCATGCTCGTCCAGAAGAAGAATTGACATCGGTTCTAATTAAAGACAGAGGCGTCGGCAGATATCGTATTGTTGTCTTTGCCTTGTGGGATTCTTGTAGTTTCATCAAAAGTCACTACTAAGTCAGGTGCTCCATGAATCAGACAAGGAGAAAGTGCTGGGTTCCATGTTTAAATATGGGATGGTATCTGTTTTTAAAGGTCTTATTTTTTTCTCAAATGATGCCCTCAGACCTCCAATGCTTGTCTGAAATTGCTCCTTTTAATGAATCCCACACATCTTCGTTTATAAACTATCCTTAGTGAGTTGGTTGCCCCTCTGTGGTTTCTTTAAAACACCATGACATAACTGTTTGAGGGGATAAATAGCCAGCATGTCTGGGAGGTGGAGGCATGTCACCAAGTGGCAGTCAGGACAGCAGGGGCAGGAAGCTGTGAGCTGGCACCTTCCAACACCAGCAAGATGCAGGAGGAGCACTCACACTGGGAATGGCATGAGTCTTTTAACTCCCAAAGCCTACCTCCATGATGTACTTCCTCCAACAAGCACACATCTCCTCGTCCCATCCTCAAACAGCACCACCAATGGAGGAGCAAGTGTTCAAACATCTGACCTATGGGAGACATTCTCAGTCAAACCGAAACACATAGTAAGATATTAACAACAAAGAAAATGTAGAGTGTGTAACATTATATTGTTATAAAGTTGGTGAGAATGTGACCTCTGCCTGACACTGAAAAGACTGTTCCATGCCCACCTGTCTACATTGTATGATGTGACCTGATACTGTTGTGTGAGATACTTCTCCTGTGGAGACAACACACACACACACACACACACACAAGCATAAAGGCAAGCATGCACATGCACTCACACATTTATTCATTCTGAATGGGAACCCATGACAGGTCAAAGCAATCATAGCACTGACTTGGCACAAATGCAAAAATATTTGTTGGTATTATGAACTGGAGTGTGAGTGGAGGTTACTTACAGAAGCATAAATGACTAAAGAAAAATAAAAATATAAAAATAAATAAAATGAAAATTTAAAGCAGCTGTATTATGGAAAGGCCGAGCTGAACACCGGAGACTGCTGTCATAAGGTGTACTGTCTGAAGAGCAGATGGACAGCTCAGCCATTGTTTATTTCTTTCCATAAAAATATGTTGTGGTGGGGCAAGAATCTTCCATGTCTCTTTTCTCCCAGACGTGAGAACTGAACCCTCTTCCTTCTGGGGGGAATGTTTCAATTTGGAGCAAATGATCATATTAGAAGGCCTACACTCACTCCCGTGGGGACAGGAAATGAGCAGAGCGTGACTTCAGGTGTAAATTGTTTTCTTTCTTTGGCAATTCTAGAGCTGTTAGCTTCTTACATAGAAGAAAACCCTTTTCTTCTCTTTGGCAATCTTCCCACCATTATCCTTTACCCAGCATTCTCCATTGCAGATGCTACTGGCTAAGCAGCTACCTAGTTCCTGCCATTGGTACTTGACCTTCTGTATTCAGGTTAGCTGCACACAAGCACAAATACCCAACAGAAGGTCCAATACCAATGGCGGGAGCTATGTAGCTGCCAGGCCAGTAGCATCTATAGTGAGAAACACCAGGTAAAGGATGACTCGGGTCCCAGGTAAAGTGGGATAGAGTAGCTGTGATATTTCATCAGGTTATCCGAGCATCACAATATACAACATGGGTTGATTGCTTCTAAGGTTTTTCCAACCTGCAGGTGCTAAGACTACAAGCAAGTAGCACCATGCCCAGTTTATGCAGTGCTAGAGAGTGAACTCAGGGCTTCGTGGATACAAGACACAAGGAATCAGCCAGCCGAACTGCATCTTTATCTGATGCACTCAAGGCTCTTGACCCACTTCTGATCCCTAATAACTATAACTGCGGGCTGTGCCATTGGAAAGAAGCAGAACTACCCTAGGATGCTGTGTGCTCTGTGTAGGACAAGAGCCCCTTCTTACTTTCCATTTCTCTTCACCAGTGCTGAGCCATGTCCTGCTCTTTTCCTTCTGGAGAAGAGCTATCTGCAGCTAACTAAGAGTATACTTGGGGGATTACTCAGAATATCACTTGTCCTTTTTAGCCAAGTCATTTTCAAATATGTATTTATAGACAGTCTATTTGCTGGCTTGCTTGTATTCTTTCCCCACTATTGATTTTTGAGACAATTAGAATTGTCTTCAAACTTGAAAAATGCCCAGGGATACAATTAATATTTAGCTGAGTTCATGTTCTCAGATGGCAGGGAGAGGAAGTGATTTATTTTGGTTAATTATGAACTTACAAAATAATATTTGGTTTATTCCAACACGGGCACACAAATGCACCCAAGCACACGGGGACACACACACACACACACACACACACATACACACACACACGCCAATTAACCTTCTCAGGCTTCTTAATGTGTTCACCAAATTTGCTGGCCAATGTGACTTTCTCTTCAGACATGTAGACATAGAGGCCATCACCAATTATCCACAAGTAGTGTTGCTTTGTCGGGTGTTGAGAAAGACTCTTTGCAGCACCAGTGTTGAAAGAGATATTATACTGACTTTAATTTTGACCACATTCTTCAAGAATAAGTATTTTCTAAAGATATACAAGACCCCTACAGACATGGTAATTTATCAGATAAAGGCATAAAGAACCTCTGTTACTGGAAGCTAAGAGTCACTATACTACTCCATCTGCCAAATAGCTTGGAGGCTGAAGTTAGTGGAAGCAAAACAGGCTTTCTCGGGGTCACCACTAAGAAAATAGGGGATGTTCTTCTATCTCAAATTTCTACTTCCCATGGTTTTGTGTTGGGAAGAGAGGGGAGGAAGAGGGGTACAGGAAGACAGGGCAGGAAGTCCTTCTTACAGGCAGGATTTTGGTCTTCAAGGTACTTCTTCCTCTTCCTCATTTTCAAATATGTATTTATAGACAGCCTATTTGTAGATGCTGGCTTGCTTGTATTCTCTCCTCCTCTTCTTCCTCCTCTTCCTCTTCATCCTCCTCATCCTCTTCCTCCTCATCTTTCTCTTCTTTCTCCTCTTTTTCCTCTTCTCCTTCTTTCTCCTCCTCCTCCTCCTCTTATTGGATTTGGACCTGGCTCTTAGGTTCCTCAGGGCAATTTACATGTTTTTACTTCAGACAAGCACAGTCTTTTCTCCATATCAGTTCTCCGAGCTGAGGAGGACTTGAGGAGGACTCTTTTAGGGGGGGATGAGCCCTAACCAGTTTAGAGGTAGGAGAAGAGAAGAGACAAAGCCCACATTCCCCTTCCCAGGAGCTGCCCTGACATGATTGGTGATAGTTCATTCAATTGTTCTCTTGCTATCCTGACAGTTGGTCTCCCTGGCTTCTCACTAGCTTTTACTGGGATACTGGAGGTAGGAAGATTGTGTGGAGGATCCATTTCTAGTATTCGGGCTATACTTATAGAGAATTACTGAGAAAACGAGGCTAACTCGACTGCTATTTATAAAATACTTACCTCCTTGGCAAGCAGCTCCCAGCAGCTCCTTTCTCTTTTACCGCCTGGAGATGCTGGTCACTTAAGCATCTTGACCTGGAGGCTAGAGAAGTCAAGCCCCATACACTCCAGCCCCTGCATGGGACAGAGAGTTAAGAGGCTGTGCTGTGCTGTGGCCTTGAAACTCCTCATACTAGATGATGTAAAAAAGGTTTATGGTCCTACTCAGTACCTGGCTCCTTGGCACATAGTCTATGCCAAATTAACTCAAGTGGTATAAAACATCCCACCAGTTCCTGGAAACTTTCAAAGGAAGGATTTTTAAGAGAATTTCTCTCTCAAGGCTCTCTTTTCCCTTCAGGTCTGCTGTCATGTTTCCTGTGGCTGCCCTCTCTCTAGCTCTTAAGCTCCTGTCTGCTGTCTCTGGTCTGAGAGTTCTCACACCTCAGAAGCCCAGATCCTAAGCCTTGGTTGCAAAGCCCTCTCTCCAAATAAAGCAAATTTCTGAAGTGTAACTTTCATATATAATTCCTTCCCAAACATGCTGCTCTGATCTCTAAAAAATTTCTAAATCGATTTCTGTAGTTTGCATGGTGAAGGCACAGCTAGCTGCCCTGAGAAAGAAATAGCCACTGCAAGTGCAGAGATGGATGTATTTCTCACTGCCCCAGAAGACACTTGTCTTGGAGACAAGTGAATGTTCTATTTCAACCAGTATTCCAAGAGTATATCTTACAGTCTCTCAAGGCCCACTGTGCTTTCCTGAGGCCCAGCAACAGTGAGACACCAGTCAGTGAAGCTCAGAGGAAAGAGACATTACTTCAGAATGTGTTCATAACCAAGACCCTCTGTGAACCCATTGAAATAATTACATGTTTGCATGGGCCTTCGCTAATACTCTTTTACTTTCTTACCTTTCCAGCCCCCAGTGAACCTTTGCTGTGCAAATTTGCTGATGGAGGACAGAAGAAGAGACAGAGCCAGAGCAAGCACACCCAGAATGGGAGGCCATGGCCCAGAGAAGGAGAGGTGAGTCCCGAGAGCCACTAAGGGACTGGGTGGCAGCCCTTCCTAGGGAGGATGGCAAAGCAGACATTTGGAGCCATGTAAAAAAATGAAATCCACAGTCAGGGAGATGATTCAGTGGTTAATAGAACTTGCTGTGTAAGCATGGGGACCCGAGTTTGAATCCCCAGAACTTATGTAAAATGATGATCATAGTTACATAAATCTGTAATTCCCATACTCAGGTTTGGGGGCATTTGGAGCTAGGTATTGCTGGCTTAAAACCTGGCTCTAGGGTCATGAGAGACCCTGCTCAAAGGATGAGAAAGAAGGATAGAGCAGGACACCTAATGTCCTCCTCAAATACACTTAAAGGATCCTGCACACACATGGGTATACATGATACTGATATGTCTCTAACCCCCATACACACCTAGATCTCAGAGGAAACCAAATGTCCAGAGTCAGACAGGCTTTCATGCTTCCATGTGTAGAGAAGAGAATGGCATTCTGTGGAGAAGAACAAAGAACTTAAAAATCGGCATCGAGGGAGCTGGAGATGTAGCTCTGGCGGAAGAACACTGACCTTCTCTGCTAGAAATATGGCTTTGATTCCCAGCATCCTATAACACAAACCAAAATCCAAAGCCTTAGCATGGTGACAACGCCAGTAATTAGAAGTCAGAGGCTGGGGGATCAGATGTTCAAGGTCATCTTTGGGGAAAAAAAGAAAGCCTTCCAAGTGTCTTTACAGAAATTTGAAAGGAATTCATAATCACAAGACAGATGGCAGGTTGACATTTCTCCTTTAAAATAAATTTTATCAGGAGGGCTTTCTGACTAGTTACCCTCATTCCCATCATGTCTGGAGTAGAGGGAGGGAGCTGAAGGAGTTGGAGAGCCATCAGGGAGCAAAGGGAATGTTTGACTATGATAGATTCTCAAGGCTGGTGGGAAGTTCCACTCTAGGTTATGTAATATGGCTCAGCCTGCATGACAAGATGGGGCAGAAGGCAGGCACTAAGAGAAGAGGATAAATTTCTCTTACATTTTCAGGGGGTGCAGTGGGGGAGGTCAGCTTGCTTTTTCTTGTGGAGTTGTCTATGCCTTCACCTTCACAGCAGGGTTTGTCAGCTTCAGGGAGGGGGATGGGGAGCAAGTGGTTCAGTTTCTGGGAAAAGGGGATCTGTGTGATCTAGCACCCACCACAAATAATTGATAAGTAATTACATAGTGGTTATGGCATGGAGGTACAATTATTTAAGGAAACACTTTCAGCGATTTTTTTCCCTTTTTTTGAGAATCCAGTGTTTGTATTCTGAAAAGGGCAAGAATTTAGGTTGGTTTTACCATGTCATAGTGGTTCTCTTCGTTTCTTTTCCTGTTGTTGTATTTAAAAGAAAAGAAAATAAAGAAAAAGAAAAGAATCCTGGCAACTTAATGAAGAAAGAGTTTATTTGGGCTCAGAGTCCATCATGGTGGGAAGTCATGTAACCTGCTGGTCACATGACATTCACAGTTAGGAAGATGAGACTTATGGATGTGTGTCAGTGCTCAGTTCCATTTTTTTACAGTCCAGGATCTGCTGCCTAGGGAATGATACCTCCCACAGTGGGCTTGTCTGTCCACCTCAGATAATATAATCAAGATAATCTTCACGAACAGGCCCAGAGGTTCCTTCTTCAAAGTGATTGTAGATTGCATCAAGTTGATAACACTAACCCTCATACTGGTACATAGACACATGCATGAACATCTATGGCCTTACCTATGTGTGTTGTTGTGATATTAGAGAGAGAGAGAGAGAGAGAGAGAGAGAGAGAGAGAGAGAGAGAGACCAGTTTACAACATTTTTTTTCTATTAGCTAGAAAGGAGGAAGAAAATGTGGTACAAAGTCCTACTGTTCATAAAAAAATCAAAAGACAAAAAGAAACAAGCATTTCCCGTTAGTCATGCATTTGTCCTCATAATACAAACTGTCAGTAAGTTGTGACTTTACACCTCATGGGCCTTGAGAATTAGTGCTCTTGGTTATTTATTTTTTTGTAAAATAACAAGGAAAAGGTACCTAAGCTTTTGTAGTTTTTCTTTTCTTCATTTTTGAGGAAATGTGATAGAGTTATTTGAATGACTAAATAAATGGTATTTTGTGCCAAAGCCATAATTTCAATAGAGGAGTTTTAGTATTTCTGTCCCAAGCACCTGCTTTGTCCATTTGTTATTTAAGAGGTGTCATAACTATGTGCCATCATATTCTCTGAACACCAAGAGAGCTGTTCTAAGAAAGAAAGGAAGCTGGGATATTTTCAGAAAATGCTTTAGCCATTTTCTATTTTCTGGGTCTGTTTTGAGTGTTTCTAGAAGTGTCTGAAAACCCCTCTTGAATTGCATAGCTGTAGTCAAGCACTGTATAATGTATATCATTATAGTAAGAAGTACATCAAATAAAACCAGAATAATCATTGAGTATCAGAAGCCAATGGAAAAAAATGCAAGAATGTTCATATTTTCTGTGAGATTGTATGTATTTTGATGAGGGCGTGGGGAGAGACGACCTGTGTCTTGGGGATTGAGCTTAGTGCATCAGCAGAGAGTCTCACAGCCACAGCATCAGTCCATGTGTCCCGTACAAAGCATCCATAGTCTAAGAAGACCCATTTGACCTTAAAATTTGATTAGGCAAAATGCTTGTTAATTACAGATATCTTTGTACCACATAGGAAAGCCCCTAGCTCTGTGAGCTCATGAGGAAACTTGCCTCTAATGACAAGTTTTATCTCATGTAAAAGAATCTGTAATACCTTTTTCAGGCCACGAAGAGGCAGTTATAGGAAGACCATATTTTTTTGGTATCAATGTTAAAAACCACAAAACACAAGCAAATAAAACTAGCTCTCACCACAGAGGGAATTAGCGATTGTTAATTTGGAGACAACTGTAAGGGACTGTGGCTAGGGAACACAGATACTGATTCCCTCACCTGCCAGGCCTCAAAGCAACAACCACAGGGCTTCAGTAGCAGAACAATCAAAGGTAAAAATCAAGGTACTGTAAAAATACATTGTTGGGACATGAGCTAGGTGAATGGTGGCAAAGCAGGAATCTTTGCTATGGATCCCGGATGCTCTCTGGTGGCAACCTTAGGCTCTGTGTTGGGGGATCTAGAGGCTCTGTACAGAATTTTACCTGATGGGTGGGGGATAAATAAAGCCCAAGAGAACCTGACCTTCAGCCTGCCACATTTATTCTCTTCCTAATCAAGTTCGGGTTCCTCCCCCACTGAAAACTTCAGTTCGTTAGAAGTTAAGTGGACAAATGTAAAATCAACATAGAGCTGTTACAGGCTACGTTACACAGAAGTAGGACTCTGGGGACAGTACACTAAGCTACTACAGTGCCAGGACACTGCTGTGTCAAGCTTATGACTCGATGTCCCCTAGGTTGTGATCTCAGTGTTTGAGCTTTAAGATCCTTTGATTGTTTTCATGAAAACTACACACACCTAGAACAGTGGACAGGCCTAGGGAGATGGCTCAGCAATTTCCTCCTTGCCATCCTAATGTGAAGCACAGAACTCAGACGCTCAGATCCATAAAAATAACAAGTGGCATGGTGACCCACCTGTAACTCTACCCAGAAAATGTAGTTAGGGATTCCCTAGAAAAACTGGCTGAGGAGACTGGACAGCTCATGAGTTCTGAACATTTCTGAGCCACCATATCTCAAGGAATATGGTGGAAGAACAATTGGGGTTGATTTCTGATGTCAGCCTCAGAACTCCATGTGGGTATTTATGACATAGATGTACAGAGGTACAAACACACACATGCATACAATACACCCACAGAAAAACACACATGTATGCACACCATACATCCATGAAAATGAAAACACATATACACACCACACACCATTCACATACATAACAAAACACGTACAAACACATACCACATATGCAAGAAAAAATTTACACATACATATACCTCACACACATGAAAAAACACACACATACATACACCTCACACACATGAGAAAACACACACACATGAAAATAAAAATATACACATACATACACCACACACGTGAAAAACACACAGATACTCAAACCATACACACATGAAAAAACACACACATACACACCACATATAGACACCATACACACATGAAAAAAACACACACATATACACACAGCACACACATGAGAAAACACACACACACACTTCACACACATATATGCACATCACACACATGAAAATCATAAACCTAGTCCAGCATTCTATGATTCTCTTCTGAGTCTTACAAGCATTAGGTTTACTAGAGCACAGTTCATGAATAAGGCCCATAAAATGACATTTAAAAAACTCATACACCTGTAAATTCTAATAACATACAGACTAACTTGGAGATATAGTGTTTCCTTTTTCATATTAAATACTTCCAGATGGATTCTTTTCAAAAGCAGCAACATTCTCAAACTAAGTTTCATGTATTCCTGTTAGTCACTTGTGATGTTACCTGCATTCTCTGCTTCAGATCTATGACCACACTGACTACCTGTATAAAAAGCAATCAAGACGAAGATTCTGGGTTGAGACATCAGGGAAGAATCTAGGCTATATACTTCCTCTATTCAACCACAGGACTAAGAGATATAACTCTCTTCAAAGCCTTGTCTGATGGGTGATGTGTCCGTTCATTCTCATGTTGATGACAGAGATGCTTTAAAGGGTGACTTAAGAAAAGTAGTGTTCAGTCTGATCACATTTCAAGAATACAGTCCATCATGGCGGGGAAGGCATGGCAGAAGGAGCATGCAGCAGCTCCTCACACTGACTCTTCAGTCTAGAGGTAGAGATGAGAGAAGAAGAATGCTGTGGTAAGCTCACTCATACAGTAGGTCTGCCCACCTCAACTAGAACAATCCAGTTATTCCCTTACAGTTACACCCAGAGTTTGGTCTGCCAGGTGATTCTAGAGCCTGCAGAGTTGCCACAGCAATTAACCATTAATGCTGGTTTCACCT